ACTAAAGCTTTCAATTCTTTAAATACGTAATTTTGTTTGAAATAGAACCGAGTAACTGCTATTTGAATGAGTTAATTGGTAAACCAGTATATTCCAAAGATTACCAGATATTAGAGACACCGGCGATGACGCAATGGTTTTTGCATACAATCATATATCTGCAACTGTCAGCGAATCATGCAACAAAATTATATTGCGTATATAATTACGCAGCATGCATTGAGATGGCTCTTGCTAATGTGTGATGATTATTACATTTAAAACATCATTAACCGCCGTTTATATAATTGTATATAAGACATTTAATTGACAAATAGTTTGGTGTGGTTTAGAAATTTCCGCGCGTTGTCTTTATGTATTCATGTGTACACATGCTCTGTTTAAAATTTCGTCCACGTAGAATTCGTTTATATGTAAATGTTTCGGTATTTGGTAATAGTGCAGAAATGTTTGAGATGCGCGTATTACAAGGCAAGTTTCTACTTTCAGGAGATTTTTAGAGCTGCCTATGATTTCGGATTTTAAATAAATGCAGCTTTTAATGTTACAAATAAAAACATAATGTAATATTATATACTTCTTCATATGTCTTTCTGGTTTCCCCTTTGCCGTTTGTGCAGGACTGATGTCTTGAATCATATTCCATATAAATCTTAAGTGCATCGAGCGTAGAATATATTGTTGTTACTTGTATTTTGTTGTTGTTTTTAAAACATGATAAAAGTAGAAACATAAATAGAAGAATCAAATAACAACAATAAAAACACTGGTGGTCGAGTGGAGTACGTGCACCTGCCGGCATGCCAGCAGACACACGGATCGAATCTCAGGTATGGAAGGCATTTTTCTCAAAGCTTATAAAAATATCAGGTGTGTAATTGGCTTCGTATATATGAAATTCGTAACGAAATACACAGAAATTGAAATATATGAAGGCAATATGAGAAATAAGAAAGAGCAAGTAGAGAAATAGGAGAAGCGAAGAAGGAACAGTGTGAGAAGAGTAGAAGACATAAAGGAAGGAGAAACAGAATACAGAAGAGGAGAGGAGAGGAGAAGAAAGAGAACAGGGAGGATCAGATTTTTAAATTTTGGGCACGCCGTTATAAGACAGTTCATGCCTGGTCGATCGCCCACCGCTTCGATACCTGGCCACCCGGCCCATCCTTACAGCTGGGCTTACGTTCTGCGCTTCATCCCCCGAAATTATCAGGCATATCAACAATTTTATGGTGGGGATCACCCCCAGAGAGGGGGAACTCCTTATAGACATCCCTTTAAGAACTTGTAAAATATTTCTAATTTTAAGTCGCCTCAAGAGAGGAATACTCCTTAAAAATATTCTACAAGTTCTTACCTGTAGCTGAAATGAAAGATGGAGTACAATGAATCATACAGGATAATCTTTAACAAATTTTTATAGTGGGGGATCATCCCGAGAGAGGGAACGCCTTTAGAGACCTGTTCCTGAAAATGATAGAAGTCAACAAAAATACATGTCGCCATATTGAAACAGGGACTTACGACCTCGCTTAGAAGCCGCGCACATGCCAGCAAATAGCCACTCTTCTTATGATTGAAAAAATAAAACAACTAAGGCTGGCAACACCAACCAAAAATTAAATGTGAAACAGAAAATATTTTAAGACTATAAATATCATTCGTTTTTACCTGAGGCCCGAAACCACATGTGGGTGTCACGAAACAAATTTCCCTAGTGAGCAATGAGGAAAACACTAAAAGCAAATAATTAAAGTAAAATTTCCTTACCGACATAAAGAAAATGACTATACAGGTGTTTCAGAAAGAAATCTCTAGTTGAACAAGGAACACTAAAAACTCACAAATATCGGCGATTTTACGTAGTGCTAGAAAATTAATATGTACATGGTATTACAAAAAGATAACTTTAGAACTACAAAAGGAGTTAATATTCACAACATGAAGAGGGAACCACAAAATAAACAACAATATTGAGCAAAAGATGGTACAAAAATAAAACACTTTACATTTTAAATATATTGCGAATGTATATTTATTAATTGGATGCATCAACTGCATAAAATAACCGACGGTGAAGCATCATCATAAATGACGGCAAAGCAACGGCGCGTAGCAATCTGCAGTTGTTAGAGAGAATAAAAATAACTATTTTTTGTAAATATTATTAAGATGTGGAGACTATGAAAACGAAAACTTCAGCGTACAAGATTTGATCTGAGTAAAATCTTCTTAATTTAATAATGATGCTAAGGAGGTGCAAATCGATAAAACATTATTCACGTGTTCAGCCCGACCACGACCGACGTACAAGGTGGTCGACCATAAATGCCTTGCCAATTTTATCTTCAGATACTTTTTAAAACAATTGTATTAGTGTTAAATCAACCTTGTTATTTTCGGAAACGGAACAAAATTTACCATGTGTTTTGGCAATTTGCATTTTATTAAAAAATGGCAAAAGATTTCTCTCTTTTATGGTCGAAATTGGTGCAGGAATTTTAAATTTGTTTCTGAATTCTGATAGACAATTTAATTCTCTACATCAATTATTTTCTTCTTTTTGGTATTTTTTTTAGCATTAACTGCTTAGGCCCTATTTGCAATTTTATATGAAAAAATGAAAATGTACCGAAACAAACTGAAATAATATATATAATAATTTTATGAGAATCAATTTTATGTCCACTTCTCTGCGTTCCTAATACTACAGGCTGATGAGCAGAATTAGCAATTTCAACAAATTTTTACACGAGAAATCCATTGAAATTGGTAACAAAATTTTGAATATTAGGATCGCAGAAAGTGCAGTAGGTTAAATCTCCAGCAATCTTGAATAGCGGCATAGTTTAGTTACTCGTGGATAGATGACACTAGTGATACCTTTTTAAAATTAATATTGATACAAAATAAAATTGATTTTGAACTATTTTCCATATCTAGCAGTGACATTTCCATTAAAGTGTAAGGTATTAATTAAAGGAGTAACGATGTTACGAGCTATGTTCCCCGTTTGGAACAAATAAAACAATAAAAATGGCACAGGATACCTTAACAATGTTGATAGGTGGGATCATCCCCTGGGAGAGGGAACTGTACCTATAATCATAGAAGGGGTACACACAAATCAAAGAAGTCAATATATCTTACTGTTTCTTTATTCAATAGAATACATGTTTAGATTTTATAAGTCAACCAAATACGTGCCGCCATGTTGACTTACGACCTGCAAATAGCTCATTTTCTAGGTGATTGAAAATGGAAACAAATATACAAGGTGTTGCAAATGAAAAATTTAATGTGAAAACAAAAAAACATTTTAAAACTACAAATATCATTCGACGTCAAGACTGACGCCATAACCGGAATGGAAAATCACGAAATTCTCCTGGATATTTTGAAGTTTCGTCTTGGAAAGATGAAATCTGTAACAAACAAAATATATTTCCAGTATTGCAACACTCAGATCAGTGTTGAAGATGAGAAAAATTTGGAAATAATTTACATTGTTGAGCGGAAGTGGACAGCGCATTCATTGCACGAAAAAGGGTGAGTATAATCACCCTTTAATGCAAATTTTCGCGTGTTGCAGACAGAATTCCTGCATCAAACAAATATCACCCGACAAAGAATTTAATTCCGTATCTTTTGCTGCCGCGCCGAAGTTATTGAGACGCCAAGATCGTGAACAAACCCGAAAAAATACAAATATTGCACGAAAAAGGGTGAGTAAATCACCTTTAATGCAAATTTGCGCCGGGTTCATACGGTGCCCTGAACACGAGTCACTTTTACCGCTAGCCTCGTAAGGTACCCTGAATCGAGTCAGTTCTACCGCTAACAAATCCAACCCGACGGAGAATTTAATTCCGTATCTTTTGATGCCACGCCGAAGTTATTGAGACGCCAAGATCACGAACAAACCCGAAAAAATACAAATATTGCACGAAAAGGGTGAGTAAATCACCTTTTAATGCAAATTTTCGCGGGTTGCAGGCAGAATTCCTGCATCAAACAAATATCACCCGACAAAGAATTTAATTCCGTATCTTTTGATGCCGCGCCGAAGTTATTGAGACGCCAAGATCGCGAACAAACCCGAAAAAATACAAATATTGCACGAAAAAGGGTGAGTAAATCACCTTTTAATGCAAATTTTCGCGGGTTGCAGGCAGAATTCCTGCATCAAACAAATATCACCCGACAAAGAATTTAATTCCGCATCTTTTGATGCCACGCCGAAGTTATTGAGACGCGAAGATCGCGTGCAAACTCGAAAAAATACAAATATTGCACGAAAAAGGGTGAGTAAATCACCATTTAACGCAAATTTTCGCGGGTTGCAGGTCGAATTCCTGCATCAAACACATACCACCCGACGGAGAATTTAATTCCGCATCTTTTGATGCCGCGCCGAAGTTATTGAGACCGACAGAGTTCCTGCATTAAACACATACCACCCGACGGAGAATTTAATTCCGCATCTTTTGATGCCACGCCGAAGTTATTGAGACGCCAAGATCGAGTGCAAACACGAAAAAATACAAATATTTCACGAGAAAGGGTGACAAAAATCACCCTTTTATGCAAATTTTCGAGGGTTTCAGGTCGAATTCCTGCAACAAACAAATACAACACGACGGAGAATTTATTTCCGCATCTCTAGACGCTACGCTGAAGTTAGTGAGCCGCCTAAATCGCGCGCAAACACAAAAAAAATACAAACATTTCATGAAAAAGGGTGATTTTTTCATGCAAATTTTCGCCGGGTTCATACGGTGCCCTGAACACGAGTCACTTTTACCGCTGGCCTCGTAAGGTGCCCTGAATCGAGTCGCTTCTACCGCAAACAAATACAACCCGACGGAGAATTTAATTCTACAACTCTAGACACCCCGCTCGAGTTTGTGTGACGCCCAGCCCGCGTTCAATGATTAAAAAGACGTACATATTACCAGCACGTGGGGATAAGTACAAAACAAACACTTAGTTATACATGCCACATACCAGTATTTCACTCGATGTAACACTCAGGACTATTGTTGAAGATGATAAAATCTGTGAAATAAATGACATTGTTAAGGGAAAATGTGGGAAGGGGTGTCAATATTTATTTTATTTTAAATCGGGAGTCGAACGACGAAGCGAATGAAATTCGCATTCTAATTTAGCTCGTGACTCGAAGGAACTCGGAACTCGAAGGCAATTGCTAAAACAGAGAAGAGAACGATAGTTAGAACATTGCGAGCAAGTAATGATAAAATAAAGCAGAGACAAAACATGCAATAAAACTTCTGCGCGAAGTGTAAAATATGATATAAATGCGACACGAAAACGTGTTTATACACAAACGAATACTGATACGACGCAACATACTAAAAGTACTCGTACTAAAGGAGATAGAGAGGAACGGATTGTAGATAGGTAATCTACATCAAATTCTCTATAAGTTAAACTAGTTAATTGCAATTACCATCGCAAAACACTAAAAATACGCGATATATTGCTGAATTTTGGGGTGTTTTTCGTAGTTTGTCGTAGTATTTTTATGTACAACAACGAAGGCTCACTTAACACAAGCATATGTGAACAGTAAAATATTGCTTATTTCTATTTCAGTGCAGGAGTGATACATTTATAACTGTACACACTCGTAAAAATAAAATAAATAATAATATAAACTATCATTGTGTCAACCAGCAACTTAATACAAACAAAAGATGAAAAATTTCAATCTCTTAATCTACAGCAAATTCTCTATAAGATAAGCTAGTTAAATTGAAAATCTAAGAGATGAAATAATAAAAATGGGCAAATGGGAGTCAGCTATACGTTCATCTACGTACGGTGCCCTGAACACAAGTCACTTCTACCGCTACCCTTGTACGGTGCCCTGAATACAAGTCACATTCTACCGCTGCCCTTTTTAAAATTAAAAGCGCAAGCGAACAACAGATCAAAGAATATGAAAGATTGGAAAATTCTCTATCAGGAAAAATTAAAAAATAATTCTGTTCCGTGGGGTATTTGCCATCAAAACTAAACAAAAATATGCTGCATACGTGCAAACCCGAAAAAATTAAAACCGAACAACGGTGAGTAAATCACCCTTTTATGCAAATTTTCGCGGGTTGCAGGTCGAATTCCTGCAACAAACAAATACAACCCGACGGAGAATCTAATTCCGCATCTCTAGACGCCGTGTTGAAGTTAGTGAGCCGCCTAGATCGCGCGCAAACACAAAAAAATACAAACATTTCATAAAAAAGGTCTTGCAAATTTTCGCCGTGTTGATACGGTGCTTTGAACACGAGTCACTTTTACCGCTAGCCTCGTAAGGTGCTCTAAATCGAGTCACTTCTACCTCTAACAAATAAAACCCGACGGAGAATTTAATTCTACAACTCTGCACACCCCGCTCGAGTTTGTGTGACGCCCAGCTCGCGTTCAATGATTAAAAAGACGTACATATTACCAGCAAGTGGAGATAAGTACAAAACAAACACTTAGGTACATACCTCATACCAGTATTTCACTCAATGCAACACTCAGGACTATTGTTGAAGATGATAATATCTGTGAAATAAATGACATTGTTAAAGGGAAATGCGGGAAGGGGTGTCAATATTTATTTTATTTTAAATCGGGAGTCGAACGACGAAGCGAATGAAATTCGCATTCTTATTTAGCCCGTGACTCGGACATCGGAACTCGAAGGTAATTGCTAAAACAGAGAAAAGAACGATAGTTAGAACATTGCGTGCAAGTAGTGATAAAATAAATCAGAGGCAAAACATGCAATAAAACTTCTGCGCGAAGTGTAAAATATGATATAAATGCGACAGGAAAACGTGTTTATACACAAACGAATACTGATACTAAAGGAGATAGAGAGGAACGGATTGTAGATTGGCAATCTACATCAAATTCTCTATAAGTTAAACTAGTTAATTGCAATTTCCATCGCAACACACTAAAAATGAGCGAAATATTGCGGAAATTTTGGGGTGTTTTTCGTAGTTTATCGTAGTATTTTTTATGTACAACAACGAAGGCTCACTTAACACAAACATATGTGAACAGTAAAATATTGCTTATTTCTATTTCAGTGCAGAAGTGTTAAATTTATAACTGTACACATCGTAATACTAAAATAAATAATAATATAAACTATCAAATTAACTTAATAGAAACAAAAGGATTTTAATCTCTTAATCTACAGCAAATTCTCTATAAGATAAGCTAGTTAAATTGAAAATCTAAGAGATGAAATAATAAAAATGGGCAAATGGGAGTCAGCTCTACGTTCATCTACGTACGGTGCCCTGAACACAAGTCACTTCTACCGCTACCCTCGTACGGTGCCCTGAATACGAGTTACTTCTACCGCTGCCATCTTTTAAACTAAAAGCACAAGCGAACAACAGATCAAAGAATATAAATGATTTGAAAATTCTCTATTAGGTAAAAACTAAAAATAATTTTGTTCCGTGGGGCATTTGCCATCAAAACTAAACAAAAATATGCTGCATAGGATATGAGGAGATGGCAACGCGACACAAAAAATGTTGATAAATAAGCAATTTCTGGTTTATGCTAGTCCCATCTATGAATTATACAGTAAATAAAAACAAACCAATTTCTAAAATTCTCCTAAAAATGAAAGTAAAAAACCTTTCTGTGAAGTGAAACTCAATTAAATTGTCCTTAGCTAATTGTTTATGAATTATTCTCGACCTCTCCTATTTTTCCAATTTGAATACCTTATCTTATAAAGAAATTTCCGAAGATATAGAATCTTCAATAAAAAAAACTAAGCTAAACTAAAACTTGTTTTGAGATGTATCAACCGAGTACGCAACTATCTAATGTATTTGCAACACGCTGTGGAACGCGATAAATCAAAACAACGTAAATACAAACTAATGGAGGACGCAGAAATTAAAACGAAAAATATAATTTAATGATAAACTTACCAATGCAAGACTCATGGACTCCAAGGAACGGCAAATACTATAAATAAAAAGAGAAAACATAATTTAAAACAAAAATAATTCATACGATTTAGTAATATTATAATCACACAGCGGAGAAAAACAAACAATCTGGGCTGTTCCTTACACCAGCACGATGGGTCATCCTAATGATGAATATCAAATCAACATGGGGGCGATGCACTTAACTATGGACTATATACGCGCAAACAGTAAATAACATTACTATAGTCGATTGAGAATCGAATATAATTCAAATTTAGAAAGTAGATGCCCGGACAAACAATATGAGTCGAGTAAATTACGCCTGGATCAAGCAGAGACCGGCACGAAACTGACTGCAAACTGTGCAAGCAACAACGCGACAGTTTATGATAAGAAAGCAATAGATGCGTAAAGCCGGCGGCGCGTCGATGGCACGCGACCTTGTGTGCGAATTGCAATAGACACGTTCTTATTGCAATAAGAACTGAACTGAAATGTGCTGCATGCGACACCGCGACGAGAATCTTACCCGTAGCATCTCGCACGGCGAATGCGATAAGAAAGTTGTTTAGATTTGTCTTCAAAACGAATACAATTCTATTTTATGATTTTTAGTTCATGCTAGTGAACTAAAATTTAAATCATGAAATTATGATTTATGATTTGAGTTTTATTGAACATCCGCAATAAAAAAATTGAATTGCACTTTTCAAATTTTCGGCGGAATGCTTAAAAGAAATTTCCGCAACAATAAGTTTAAGATATCAATTTTCTAATTGCAGGAAAACAGATACTAAGAATGATCAAAAATTTACTTACCAGTGTATCGAACACCGGAAATCAAATGCGAGTAAATACTGAAATAAAGAAGAAACAACATTAGTTACACAATTTCGGACAATGAATTCCGGCGGAACCCAAAGTTTAAAGTTAAAATTTCGTCTTATTTGTAACAATTATTTAAATGAGTATTCTTACCAGGTAGCACATTGATCCAACGAGTTCTCCTAAAGACAAAAATGGTTCGCACAAGACCAAAATTAACGACAATATTATTTACAATCACACGACAAGACCGGCCGGCGTCCGACGACAACCGATCACGAATACACGCGAAAATTTAATAAACACACAAAATATTGAATTCCAAAGATTACAAACGCGAAAAATATTTAGCGAGTGACTAAACACGACAATTAACACTAAATTCAATGAAATATAACGTGATACACCGAATTTACAATGAGAAACACGAATACTCGCCGGAGCATTATTACTTGCCGCACGAAGTAAGAGCTGCGTGCCGGCATCACAACTGTGCAGGTCGACTTTTACTCGCAGGAATATTTTTAGTTAAAATATGAATCGTTGCGTCATCTAGAGATACTTTCTTGTACCACACAAAAATACATAGTGTTTCAAAATGTTTGGCGTGCATATGAGGCAGTGAGCGATTGCATATGTGTCAGTAAGTGGTCACGCATTTAAGCGGACGTGTCCGTGGGTCACACGAACACAAAAGTGCGCTTGAAGTACCCTATCTAAACAAATAGCAATTTTCACACATAACTCAAAACTTCAAATGTAGACGTCGCGAGGATGTACTTATTCAAAATAAATGAATCGAATGTTCTAAGTTTAATGCAAATATTTATCAATTTAATAATAAATAAACGTTATATACTGCATAAATAGTAAATTAAATTAGGTACATATGTCATATAATCACATATTTTCACATGTTTTTATTTATTTATTTCTAAATACGCAAAACAAAATTTTTGCAACGAATTTAACATTTAATACAGTAAGTAACAGACACGCTTAAACTTGCAGTTGTTATCTTATCACGTATGTGAATCATTCCGTAGAACTGTTACGTTGTAATATTAAGCAACAAATAATATATTATTGATTTGAAAATATATATGCATATAAAATTGTATGTACATATGTATATAGTGTTAGTCATGCACAAAATATAACAAAAAGTTTTCGTTTTGCATGACTAACATGAATCATATTATTGCTTATTTTCATTTCATATACGTTGATATTTTTTTCGTCCTCTTTACGTCGTTTTTCAGAGTTATCAATTGCTGTTTATGGAATGTATTTATAGTTAGATGAGTAAAAACGATATTACACGATTAGTGGTAAATAAATTATATTTAATACATGCGGGTCACTGCGACAATCTAGAAATATGAATACATCCTCATATCCTCATTTAAATAGACAATTATTTAATTTAATCCACGAGTTGCGTGATTGTGTGACTAAAATGGCTGCTATTGCAGACCATGATAGAAATGATATCTAAAAAAAGTCAATTGGCTGTCTGTGCATTATTGGATAAAAACACCTTTTGAAATCATGATAAAAAAATATATGGGTCGATTGTGATTTTTAAAAGCGTAGTAAATATGTATTGAGGAACCAACTTACTTTGACCTTGAGATGACTTGGTTAATAATACTTGTTTCACACTGCACTAACTTTTTGACAAACGAAACAATCATAAACTACAAAAAATCCTAAATAATAAATATTATTATAATATTTACTACTCAAATTTAATGAGATTTGATCTATCTGGCATGCTTTGTAAGTTATACTTGCCGTGTTGCATTGTGAACAACATTCTTACGTGTCAATAACGCGCATGCGCATCGTATGTCCGTTTGATACAAATGTGAGAAAGAGATGTCTCTAACGTCGGTCTCTTTCCTTATATACTGTCACGGTGCGACGCAGAAAACACAGGAAACCGGCCAGTCATCAGCTGTGCGCGTAGTCGCCAACATGTTACCGCGGCTGTGCATTACGCTATTGTTCGCCGTTTTTTTAAACCACATTCACGCATATGACGAGCGATCCTTCACCTTCGATGCAGATTTCGATTCCAAAGGGATTGGCGCCAATGCGTGGGGACGCCTCACGAACGGAACCGGAGAGACGCGTCCGTAAAGACGCCACCGCCGGCGGATCAATCCAACGTGATCACAACGGTGCGTACAAAAACATGCTAATCATAATAATACCAATTAGATTTACCGTTGTTTGGACTTGCCTGGCGTGTGTCCAAAGCGTGTACATCTATGACAAAGCACATTGTCACAATGCGTGCGAGAAAAGAAAAAAACACAAACATCTAGAATTTAAGATGGCGCATCTACTTGCTGATAACAGATTGTGCGTTTATTATCATTAACTATTGTTGGCGTATTTGCCTTCTTGTCGCTCCTTAACATGTAAGACGAGCAGGAAGATCGAGGCCACGCTTAGACTGCAGCCACCGAAGTAAAATGAGTATTTGTAATCATGTGTGATGTCCCATAAACAGCCCGCGATGGCAAGTCCACTCAATGAGGCAATTCCCTGGAAAAGCAATATAATTCCAATTGCGTTCGTCAGATTTTCCAATCCAACCATTTGGACGATTATGAGTGTTCGGAGCGCAGATATTGATGCTGAAGCATAAAAGAAATTTAAAACGAATTGAAATCATCCAATTAAATATTAATAATTGTTTTGCGCGCTTGTTTTTCAAAAGTAAATTACATATTACAACATGGCGCGGTAAATAAAATAGCAAATGACGAATGTATGTGTGCAAAATGGTGCCTCACACGTGTTGTTTATGCGGTTTGGAACGAATCACGCGAAATTCGATGACCAACGAGCAAAATAAGTTCTGTATGGTTTGATTAGCTTGCTTGTTGGTTAATGCACCGGTTGAATAACGCTGATTGCGCATCCTAGAATGTATAACGTATAACCGCTGAGGCCCATGATAACATAAAAACATTGGCGGTAATGTTATGACAGTGATTCATTGAATTCATTGGCCTTGCATCATGTGATCTCTTTGTTTGGGTAATACCGATTCTAAATCCGTTAATTTCCCAGAAATATCTCACGCCTGATAACAGATAAAAATAAATAAAATGTTTACTTACACATTGCCATGCCAAACACACAACAATAGACAAACTGCACCCACAGCACGTAGGACAACGTGGACACCACGGTTGCCACACCACCGATGAATAAAAACGTGTAGCACATTGCCGTGGAGCTGACACGACTTGATCCCGATAATAACCCACAGAGAATGCGGCCGATCGTGTTGGTGATGCCTATGGTCGAGATGAGCCAGGAACTGGAATCTTCTGTCCAGTCATGCTGCATTGCTTGGTCCTTGATGAACATGTACGGAATATACACACCAAATGAAACAAAGATGGCATTCAGGATGAGCATGGCGAATTTGAAGGAGCCCATCAGGCGGAAGTCTAACATGGTGGCCAGGGTGCGTTTCACAGCATTGGGGCAGCATCTTCTCCAGCAGTTAGGCTCAGGGGCTTGATTTGTGGGCATGCGGGTTACAGAGAGTTGATATTCCAAATTTGGTCTCTAATGAATTATACATAATTGTATTGGGATGTTATCTTTTTTAATTAGCATTATTATTATTCTTACCGAATGCAAAATTTGTGTACTGCGATATTCTGGTACTGTAGCTAATGATCCCGTGAAAAATATATCATCTCTGTAGATGGGTCTTGACCTCCAAATTTTTCTCTCTATCACTTTACGACAGCAACACCAGCAGCATCGTCTCTGGTTTATTTTTCTTGAGAATAAACTCTCTGAACGCACGCTTCGCAGCCCGCTGAAATTGGGGCTTTCCATGGTGGTGTAAGTTGTGGTAAAAAGTTGCTCGCTGGAGTTGTTGTACACGCTGCGCTGGTCAATCATCGTGTTGAAGTTCTTGTTCTGGTACTTTTCATAGAAGCTCACGTATGACACTTTTTTGCTGCGAGTGCTTTCCTGACTTCGGCTGGATTTTGGGTTGGTTAGTATAATTTTTGTGGGTTTCAGAGGGCGGAACAAACAACCACAAGGGATAATTAGTAGTGCCCCAACGCTAAGGCATTGAAACGTATGGCGCCATCCGATTTTACGCATTATTAAAGTGAGGATTGGTGGTAAACCAATTCCACCCATACCTGATATTAAAAGACAATCATTGTGGAGAATATTATAATTGATAAAACTTACCGGATCCGCAAACTGAAATACCAGTCGCAAGACCTCTCCATCGTTCAAAATAGAAACCAACTGCGATGAGTGCGGTGATATATATCATACCGAAACCAACGCCACCGATTACACCATGGTAGCCGATCACAAAGTAGATATTATTGCTAAACGAAGTCAGCACACATGAAATAGCCGCCAGGACGGTGCCCACGATGGATATTGCTCGGTAACCATAGCGATTTACCAACGCAGCTGAAAATGGTCCTAACGAAATTTAAACTAAAAATTAAAATCTGTTTTACTGTAATGTAAATGACAACCTGTAACACAGAATACACATGTACTAATGGCGCCAGCTAATGCCACTTGGCTAGTCGTGCATTCCAAGCTATCCGAAATATCCTTGAGAAACACCCCAAAGCTATACTGCAATCCGTCAGCAATAAAGTAGGAGACGAACGCTCCGAACACAACCCACCAACCCCATCCGCCATCAGGTGGTACTAGAATGAATGTTTCGGCGTGTGCATCTTCCTGTACGCGCACACTCTTTTTACTCGGCTCAGTGCTTTGTATTTTATCCATTGTATAAACATGTTTTGACAATAACTTGACACTTTGCCAATTTTCGTCTACAGATCAACCATCTCAACGATACGCATAAACAAATGAAGGTGCACTGGTGCAAACAGAAGGCTATCATTTGTTTGACCAAGGATCCGCCAGGTACGCCCACGGTGACACCCTCGAGTGTTTATATTTCATACGATTATGGCGACACATACGATGATAAAACGAAATTTTTTAAATTGGACAACGGATCGCTTGCGATTACCGAGAAATTTTTCGTGCATCCCGAACAGGATTCTCATGTAAGGTGACTTAATGTATGTAAATACACCAAACTAATATTAAAATGTTATTTTAGATTATATTTACTGACCCTACTAATAAAGTCATTTTTGTGACTGCGGACACTGGACGAACCATAACGAAAATCAACTTGAAATTCACGCCGAGTGAGATATCCTTCCACAAATTTCAACCGAAAACTTTTTTGGCTTTTGATACTTCAGATGCTAAACGGATGGTAAGTAAACAAATGCTGTAAATTAAAAATTTATGATGTCTAATTGTTAATTTTAAATACTTAGCTCTGGATGACTGAAGATTTTGGTCAAAATTGGCGCGTAGTGCACGAATATGTCAAGTCTTACTTCTGGATGGAGGATAAAACCGCTCAGCAGCAGTTGGTTTTTGAACGCGCGCTCCCTTCGAATCTTTCCACTGTTTTCTACACCAACAAACAACAAAAGCTTAATATATACGCAATGGAAGTGGAGAAAGTCATCATGAAAAACGACTATATTTTCACCGCAATGAAAAACAAACGCGTAAGTTGTATTTTCTTTCTATTTTTATGCTTTTATTAAAAAACGTACCGTTTTCTTAGCATTCGTACGACGTTTACGTCTCGTATAAGTTTGGAAAGAAACTGAAGTGTGTTTTTGACACAAATTTGCTCATCACGGATTACCTGGTCGTCGACGTGGATGTGGAAGCTCATCGGGCGTTTATTGCCGTCAGTCACACCAGCACCATGTCAAATCTTTACGTGTCTGAAAACTTAGGTGGGCGAGATGACAAGGTACAGTTTACAGTATCGATGGCTAACGTAATGGCACATTTTCCGAACACAACGTGGCAGAATTCTTGGCTGCATATGCAAGCAGATGAGGCTTTTGCCGACGTGTACAAAGTTGAAGGTATTGCTGGTATTTACATTGCGTCGCAAATTGTCATCCAACCTAATAACACCAACATTGGTCCACACCATCTTGCCTCTCGAATTACTTTTGATCACGGCGGTTCTTGGCGACCTATAACTGCGCCTATGTTTGATATGGAAGGTCAACGCACTGATTGTACAGCTGAGAAGAACTGTTCTTTGCACCTGAGTCAAAAATTCAGCCAGCTTTATCCCGATACTAGATCCTACAGCATTATTTCTAGCAAATCTGCGCCTGGTATTATTATGTCCACTGGTGTTATGGGACAGTCTCTCAAGGGTCACTTTGGAATGTTTGTCTCTTCCGACGCGGGTATTACATGGCGATACGTACTTCGAGACTTTTATTTCTTTAACATTGGTGATCATGGCGGTTTAATGATTGCTGCTGAGAATCTTCTTTTAATGGGTAAGGTGCGACATGTACTGTATTCAACAAACGAAGGTCAACAGTGGATAGAAACACCATTCCATAACAAGGAGATCCGTTTGTACGGTCTTATGACTGAACCCGAAGAAAAAACAACTGTGTTTACCATGTTTGGGTCTCTACCAGAGGCACATCAGTGGTTGATAGTCAAAGTTGATTTGCGTAAAGTTTTTGATAAAAATTGCACAGACGAAGATTTTAAACTCTGGTCGCCATTACAAAAAGACGAACACAATAAATATGTGACTTGCGTCCTGGGTAAACAGAAACAATACAAGCGGAAAGTCCCACATGCTGCATGTTTGACAGGTGCTGACTTTAACCCACCGATCACCGAACAGCCATGCGAATGTGAACTTATTGACTATGAGTGTGATTTTGGTTTTCTACGCCGTGGCGACCAACAATGGCAATGCGTTAAGAACAGTACTTTTATTGAAGATCCGTACATGGTACCAGTCACATGCCAACCTGGTCAGGTCTACAACCGCACTAAGGGATATCGTAAAATCAGCGGAGATGTTTGCATCGATGGGTATGTAAATCAATACCAGCCTGATATCATACCCTGCCCAACAACGCACGTTAACAATATGCTTCTCTATGCCAAACGCGAGAATATTGTCCAGGTGGATCTTCTGACTTTGAAGCAGAGTAATTTGGATATACCGAATTTAAAGAATGTGATTGCAATCGATTTCGACTTGAGTAACAATTGTGTTTACTGGGCTGATATCGTCACTGATACAATTGCGCGTTTCTGTGACAAGGCTGGTACACCGGTGGAGACCTTAGTTGCCAGTGATTTGACTTCCGTTGAGGGCATGGCTTTGGATTGGGTTTCGAAGAACTTGTATTTTGTTGATGGTGTTCGCGCTGTAATTGAACTGATTCGTACAGACATTCATTATGCTGGTCGTATGAGGAGGACTATTTTAGATGCAAAAGTGCTTATTAAACCGAGAGGAATTGCCGTCCATCCAAAGGCTGGTTATCTGTATTGGACGGATTGGGCATCAGTTAATCCTACAGTCAAGCGCTCCAATTTGGACGGTTCTTATATTATTACCATCGCGGGTAAGACACATGTAGAGTGGCCCAATGGTATCACCATTGACTACATCGCAGAGAGGGTGTACTGGGTGGACGCGCGGAAAGACTATATTGGCAGTACTGATCTTCATGGCAACGGCTTCAAGGAAGTTGCTCTAGACAATAAATACGTGTCGCATCCATTTGCTGTCGCTGTGTTTAAGGATGAAGTCTACTGGGATGACTGGCGCACGGATTCAATCTTCATGAGTAACAAAGACTTTGGAGGTGTTGTGCGTACCCTGGTTGAAAACACGTCTGGTTTGATGGATATTAAAGTTATTGCTCATGGCACACAACAAGGTAGTAATAAATGCGCTCAGACACCCTCGCCTTGCAGCAACATCTGTGTTGGCGCACCAACTGCACCATTCTATTCTTGCTTGTGTCCAGATGGTATGGAGTTGAAAGATAACAAATGTCTCTGCCCAGGTGGTATAGAACCGTTGGATGATCATTTTAATTGTCCGAAAATAAGCGGAACTTGCTCAGCAGATCACTTTGCGTGTAAAAGTGGTAACTGTGTGCCAAAACAATGGCGCTGTGATGGCGAAAATGATTGTAATGATAAATCCGATGAAGAGAACTGTGTTGGACCATCCTGTCCACCGAATTATTTTGTTTGTGGCGATGGCAAGTGCATCCCGCACTACTGGAAATGCGATTATGAAACTGACTGCGCTGATGGTTCGGATGAGATGAACTGCACTAAGCATAATTGTAGTGATAGTCAGTTCACATGCGACAATGGCAGATGTATATCTTCGAGGTGGAAGTGCGATGGCGAGAATGATTGTCGTGATAATTCCGACGAGAAAAACTGCGCTCCCAATACGGATACTTGTAAGATTGACGAATTCATGTGCGTCACAGGGAATACTCGATGCATTTCGTCACAATGGCGCTGTGATGGCGAAAAAGATTGTCTAGATAACTCAGATGAGGTGGGTTGCAACACAAATCACACCTGCACAGATTTTCAATTCTCCTGCGAAGGACCAGGCAAGAGTGGTGAGTGTATTTATAAGTCATGGGTTTGTGATGGAGATCGTGATTGTAAAAATGGCGCTGATGAAGAGGACTGCAAGAATGATAGTGTGACTAATCCGCCGTTCGTCAATCCGTTTGCACCAACTGTAAGTTGTAAACGTTACAAATGTTTATCTATATCTTAATTAATATTGAAGCTTATTTCACAGAACGGTAGCGCCTGTCAAGAGTGGATGTTCACATGCGCAAATCACAAGTGTATCCCGATTTGGTGGAAATGCGATTACGCGAATGACTGCGAGGATGGCAGCGATGAACTTGGCTGTAATTACACCTCAACGCCAAGTCCATCGGGATCGAAGAATGATCATTGGCTCACACCCACATGTTCGAACAATCAGTTCCAGTGTGATTCGGGTGAATGCATTTCAATGGCGTGGGTTTGCGATTCTGTACCCGAGTGTAGCAACGGTGAAGACGAACATAATTGCGATGATTTTCACAAGTGTAGCGGCCGTGATCAATTCCGTTGTCGCATCGACGGTAATTGCATTCCATTGTCGGATATGTGCAATGGAAAGCTAGATTGTCCGGATGGTACTGACGAGGAATTTTGCGCAAACCATTTACCCGGGATGGCTACTCCTAGTTGCTCTATTGGCTATTTCCCGTGCGATATGAACCGCTGCTTCCCATTAGCAAATAGATGTGATGGCAAGATTGATTGCGCTGATGGTTCGGACGAGAATGCAACGCTTTGCAGCAATTCAACGTTTACACGAGTTTATCAAGTTTTACAAATGGGAGTTGATGCTAGAACTGTAAACGGAACCAGTGCACTTCTGTACTGGTGGATTCCGTTACCCGACAAAATTAAGTTGGAGTTTTTACCCTCGATTGCTGATACTTTGGATGGCAAATGGAAGAACACCACATGGATCAGAGATATGGAGTATCAGTTCAAGGAGTTGCAGCCGAATCACGATTATAACATGACTGTGTACGTTCGGGTCAATGGTAGGGAGGCATCTATTTCCCCACCTGCAAAGTATTTCCTGGTGCACACTGCTGAAGGTGTGCCCAGCCCGCCTTATAATCTCACCGTCCAACAGACCAACAGCTCTGGTGTACTCCTTGAGTGGAATAAACCGTTGAATCCCAATGGAGAGATTAAGTCGTATGACATCTACTGGTCCCCTCCGTATCCACCGTTTAGGATGCGCCTGGCTGATAATAGTACCTTCCAATTCTTAGATGTTGACTTTGAGCCGAATATTACATACAAATTTTATGTAAGTACTTCTAAAAACTACTCTTAGTAATAATTAATTTACAAACTGTTTGATATAATAGGTTGTGGCACAAAATGGTGCAGCACTCAGTGAACAATCGGAAGTGAAAACTATGGTGTTCCATTATCTGCCACTGATACAATCATTGACAGCCTCTAATATCACGGCGAATAGTGTATCTCTGTCCTGGAAGTACCCGCATGAATGCGACGGTTTCATGATTCTTGTAAACATTAGATATCCGTATCCCAAGCAGTCCAATCATATTGTCACCTCAAAGAACATCACCATTGATAATCTTCCACCGGGTGTAAGAATCACTTTCAAGGTAGCTGCATTCAAAGGGTCGTATACAGGACCATCGTTGGAAACGTTTGCTTCCACTGTTGGAGATCAACTTGCCACCATCCCAATACGTGATTTGAATTTGGTAAAGATATGGGTAACTCGGTGAAGATAAGCTGGGATCGTGTAAAGGATTCGCGTAAAGTCAAGTGGGTGTATGGCGTGTACTACGGTTTGACGGCTGATGATTTGTTAGAGGGTGCACGTTTGAATACGACCGATACAACTGTTACCGTACATAATTTGGACGCGTGCGAGAGTTATGTGTTTTCTGTCGGGTTGATTGCTCCGTTTGGAACTGGGCCGATTCTCAAATCACCCAATTCATTATTTACTTACATTAATGACAAAGCTCCACCAAAGAAAGTATCAGTACAAATGGTTCCAAATAGTCCGCTGCAGATGCTAGTGCAGTGGGCACCTTCTTGTTCGGATTCGAATCAACCGAAGAAACAACTTGATTATTTGGTGAGTATACATCGAAAGTTATTTTATAAGTATTTAATTATCGTTTCTTATGTACAGCTGGAAATCACCGATAAAGTTAGACAAAAGAAAATTATGGTGACTGTCGTTAACGCCACTGGAGTAGAAATGAGCAAAGTATTTAACGTGTCATACGGTGCAACGTACGACATTCGCATAAAAACCAACATCATCGACTCAAAGTATTCTGAGCCTGTCACCTACTCAGCGCCGCCAATAATGCCACCCCATTCTTTAATGGTTGTCCAGGAAATGAACGGCAGCTATGTCATCTACTGGAACGAACGTAGTTTACCGGAGGCGTTGGGTGATTATAACTACGAAATTCTTGTCTCTGAAGGGGAACATCTGAATGCATCGACCACTTCGCGATATACCGTTCGTTCTCCACCGTTTATCTTTGACAACCACAGCGCCCCGATGTACTCTTTCAGCGTGCGCTTGAGAACTAACTCAGGCTATAGTTCCGACCTTTCCGAAACGCATACCGTGAAAAATCTGGGTGGCACAGCACAGGCTTCTACCAGTAATGCCTGGTCGATTGCAATTCCTGTTTGCCTTTTGATTGCTGTCCTTCTGGGTGCGGTCGGTTTCCTAGCAGTAAAGTATCGCCGCTTACAATACAGCTTTACACGATTTGCTAACTCTCACTACGATACACGTTCCGAGGCAGCGACTTTCGATGACAACATTCTGGACGAGGACGACACGCCGCAAATCCGCGGCTTCTCCGATGACGAGCCGCTTGTCGTGGCATGAATGGTGTAACATTCGTGGTGATAATAATATAGTTACCTATTTCGTCTGATTGGCAGAGACGTGGCGAATTTATCAACAATCCGGTTGTATACTAGTCTGATGATAATTTTAACAGTTTACTATTTTTAGCTCATTAAATTAATGTAATTATTTGGATCCGAGTGCGACGCTACAAAAGAAAGCCGATTTTTTTCTATGTTTATAATGTCTGGTATTTTTCTAAACAATCGTATTATACTCGTTTGGCGTTTCGTTTAATATGTTAATTCAATTACAACTAAGTTATTCCTTAAGTCAAATTTCTGTGATACACAAATATATAGCGAATTTTTAAAGGATGAAAGCAGTGAAGAATGACTTTGTAATGTGTCCGCTATTGGAATTTGACTGTTATTCAAGTAATTTATAAACAATATAATATACTGAAATAAAAACAAAGCTCAAAAATAGGTTGCCTAAATTTTGATTACGGTTTATCCGAAAAATTAAAACAATTTTTACAATTGTGCTAAATTATTACATAAATAAGTCAATAATCAATCATTTGCTTCACTCTCATCACTATCTGAGTAAGCACCTAATAATGATAAACCATTACCTGTAGTTTCTGGCGCTTTTTGTGGAATAACTGAATCTGTTGTTGTTGTAGAACTCTTATTTTCCTCTGTAGTTTCCTTTGACTTAATTTTTACCAACCCAACCAACTTTTTCTTACCTAATCCACCAATACTTTTATTCCAAGTATTATCAGCAGATGCTTTTGGTTTTGCTGACATTGTTAGAACTCTTGAGGAAGCAGCAGTATCTGTACTTGTGTCTACTAATATTTCTGTACTACTAGAATTAGTTTTAGAATCAAGTTTGCTTTGTTTAATTGCTGAAGGCCCACTGGTGTCGCCATCTTCAATGATTTCCTCCTCAGTGACAACTTTTCTCTTACCACTTGATTGAAACTTAACAGTCTTGATGTATTCTTCATCAAGTTGTTGTAATCGCTCCTCACGTTCACGCTCGCTGAGTTTAACATCATATGCAGACAGCATTGTGTCATAATCAACTGTTTGCTGTCTCTTGTTTAAATCCTTTAACTCCTCAAGTGATTCCAGCAATTCAATCTCATTCTTGGACTGTTTAGTCCTGTTTTCAAGCAGTTTCATTGGATTACTAGCTTCCTCCTCTTTTAATTCTTCTTCTTCTCTCTGTGCTAATTCCTCAGCTAATTTTAGAGCCATGAAATTTCTTGTTGCACCAGCTTCAATTTCATAATCAGTATTTCTTGGATCAGTTTTGAAAGAAATTTCTTGTAGACATCTAGTACACTAAAAAATTGTTTGAGCAATAATAACATTATGTGATACAATATAATGTTGATGGTTTACTTTTATATAGAAGCGATAAATTCGTATTCCTAAATAATCTTGATTTTCAACATCTTCTTTCCTGGCATTAAACTTTTTCCCTTTGTAAATATACTCTCCACATGTAGCACATCTCATATTAAATGGAGCCATCAAACGTACAGTATACTGTCGATTTTTGGGCAATTTCATACGAGGAATCTTTGATGGATCAAAGTCTGGTGGATAGTATTTCTAAAACCATATTTACTCATTAATAATACAGTTATTTAACATAACTAAAACTCAATACTTACATTTAATACTTTTCGTTCAGACATTTTGAAGTATTACAACTTTATTTACTGCAAAATATTATTTACTTCTGCTTTTACGAAGTACATACGCAACTCAGAGTAAACGTAACCTTTAAAATAAACAAGACGGAGTTGAATCGTGGCAACGGTGTAAAATTTTAACACGAGTTCGTACATTTTCGACTCATTGATGAATCCAATCGGGTAGAGTCGAGTTAAACTCATGAATGAAATAGTAAACATGCTTGTATAAATTTAAACTGGCGTCAATGTCACGGAAATCCACGAAGGCATTTAAACTTTATTTCGAGATATATCGGCGTGATGAAGCAAATTCGTGAAAAAAACTTCATAGATTTAATATTTTATAAAAATTAATAGTTATTATATAAAATTTGATGAAGAATGATTGTTTTTAATTAAATTTTAGAATATAAGTTGTCCTTGTGTTGAGTTGAAGCTGCGATCAACAAAAATTCAAGATTTTGCAACCGGACAAATCACGAAGACGTTAATCCGTCTGCATTTTAAGTGTTTTATAGTCGTTTCATGCATATATTAGAATGTCCAATGACAAAATCCGCCGAAAATCGCATACGTGAAATGCGTCGTCGTCGGCATACTAATCACGTCCACAATGTCAGCGAACTCTGCGTGGAGATCGCTCAGCTGCTTAGCATATCCATAACATCGTTTAACACAATAGGCCTCCACGGAGGGACATTTAAAGTTTAAAAAACCCGCCGGCGCAGTCATTAGCACATGACGAACATATTACTGTCACTGAGCGCGCGCGACCCTGAATTTATTATCAAGTTCAAACGACATTTCAACGTTACATAGTAAACGAATGTATCTAGAAACTAAAATATTGTGCAATTCAATCATCGCACTTAATTACCGCATTAAAATTCGGCGTTGAAATTTGACGCAATTTCCGCTCAACGATTACATACGCATTGTTTGTCCAGTTAAGCATTGTTGACTTTGCTAATTGGAGGCGTTTACCGCGCGCGATTGTTTCGCGACTCTAATCTTAATGTTAATTTGTTAATTTAGTCATTAAACGCGGTTGAGCATCGCATGTCGGGCACGCAGTTCCTTCCTGTGCTCATGTTAATCATTTTTTATGGCCTTGACAAAAGAAACTTGCGTTGCAAGTGAGCTTAGATTAGTTTTGTGTTCAAACTGACATATTAGCACTAATAAATCATACAATTTTCAACACTTGAAACGCCATATGCGTCGTGAACAATTTCGACAATAGTGAAATGCACTTAGGCTAATAGTCTTGAAATTCTCCTCAAATTCTGTAAAGTCACCCCCGCTAAACAACCTTTCGAACATCAGAATCCGAATCTGCAAAGAAAGAAACATTCCTCCTCAACAAACCCCAAAGTCTACAAGTTAACAGTCAAAACGCGTTTCTTTCTTTCGTCGCACGAAAAAAGAAAAATAATAAATTACCATTACGATACACTTCTAAAAATCCAAAAATCTTTCGACCGACTTTCTAAGAAAGGCACGCAGGTTGCTGTCAAATGGTTAACAGAGCTACACTTTGTATGTTTGAGCTTCTAATGTGAGTAGCTGTTACATGCCGCATTTACAAGAAATGCAGGCGACGAGCGTTCGTTTTTCATCGTTTCGAGGCACGAATGGGAAATGAAAAAGCCAACCCCTAGTCTTTATCCTAGCGGGAGGCCATCTCGGCTCAACAGACGCATAAAACAAAACTTCCATTAAAAAGTTTCGATAAAAAACTCAACCTGCGCCATATTTACATAGAAATTATAATATAAACTATTAAATAATCAAAATTAAATATTTTATGATTGTTTAGTTGATATGTTGTTTGGCAGTTTGCAAAAAATACAATGTTAATTGATGTTTACAGCGACAAGTGCTTTTATCACTTGTAAACCGGCTGGGGGCGACATTTTTGCGAATCCCCTCGACAACAATGAAACGAACCGATAGATTTCATTTTGGTTTTGTTTAGATTCTCGCGGTGAGCGCGCGCGCCGAGAAGAACCATCGACAACAACTCGTTTTTCGCCTTACAGGCGCTCAACCGACAACGTGAAACTATGCGGAGATTCCAAACCGACTAAAACGAAAGAAAGTCGAACTAAACACATTTTATTCAAAACGCATCGCTTCGTGCTTTTGTTGAAATTGTTGTATATAATATTGCGATGAATGTAAATCGTGTGTAAACGAAATTATCTGAAGTAATAACCATTTCCGCTTGAAAAGCAATGATCGACTGACGTCCGTCCTCCGTCGGACTCAAAATACAACAAAAAAAAAGCACAGATAAATATGTAAAAATTAACTGCGTTGAGTTTTGCCCAGGCGAATTTGCATTTGCATGTACGTGCCGCACGTTAGCACGAAATAAACCAGCAAATAAGAAATAATTCTACAATTTTCTGTTTTTACCGAGTTGGGTTATACACGGCGGCAAAAACAAAAGGCCACACACTCTACACTCTACAAACCGAGACCGAATTTTCTTTATGGTTTCGCATTGTTTTGTGTGCGACCGAAATGCCCGAAAGCGCAACACACAGGGTGTTTAATTTCTCGCGTATGCATTGAGAATGTTTTTGAGGTGGTTTTGAGGTGAGGCACCTGTAGTTGTACCAAAGTAGAGCGTCGAGAGAAAATGAGAACGCGCCGAGATGCCCCGAGATGATCATGCGAATTAACGGGCGAGAACCTTGAAATGTCGTCCAGCGTCAGAAAGGGTTTGGCCGCCGTTGTGCTAAAAGGACAAACACGCCGTGGCCACCTTTTTCGGTCGGCCTCCTAACACCGTCGGTCCGACTTTGTTCGTTGTTATTAACGTTGTGTTGTTATTATTATTATGCAGAGAACGAAGCGGGCTGCTTTGTTTTCGCTGTGTGTTATTAACCGGCTTCAAGATCTTTGATTTCGCAAGCAAAAACGAAGAAAAAATGGGAAATTTGACCCAATAACAGATTTCGGCCATGTTGGGTGGTAGAACATTGACTTTGAATCTAAAATAAAAACAAAAATATTTATAAAACAAAGTAACCCAAACAAAATTGATATTTTTGATTGTAAAATTAGATTTTAATTGTATTTACAACTTGTAGTTGACCAAAATTATGCCAAAACAATTTTTATTTGCAAAATGAACAATTTTTCAGCGATTAAATTAATTTTTTCGATTTTTTCAAAAGTAAAAAGTCAATTTAAATTTATGCTAAATAAAATTTAATTTAAACAAACGACAGAAGCACGCTTTTAGTGTTTTACGAATATTTTAAACTTTTATACTTAATTATTTCATTATATTCATAATTAAAATAGAATTATACAAAAACCTCGTAAATTCAGACGCGTGCCATCCACAAAACCATTCATAAATCTATTATTCTAAGTTAAAAAGCCGAAAAATTTTAAAGTCCACTCTGAAGACGAATTAAAGAGCCATTTGTTCGTGAGTCGCGCATCAATTAGAAGAGAATCGTGCGCCGTTGCGCGTTGTGTTTGTTTGCGCGGTTCACGCACTTAATTCAATTAGAACCCTTCAAGTGCTAATTAACTTAAAATAAGAGGCGTTCCGTTTTGTTACTTTCGTTACCGTCCCGGCATTTCCATAACTTCTAACAACGCAACTTCTAAAACTCTATACTATACTATATCGTACTACGCAGCGCATTGGGACATTTAAATGTTTAAAATCCTCGTTAATACCGAGTGTCTCTATGGGTCGTGATGCGTGGATAATGCGCAATGTAGGGCTTAATATGAAAATTATATGGTATTTATTTACATATAATGAATTGGATGGCATCGCACGCTTCGCAATTAGTTCGAGTGCTCGATCGCATCATTCAAAGCACGTTCGAAAAGTGTTTTCGAGTGAGGAATAAAACGAGTGAATTTATTCGGCGGAACATCGGGTCATTTCCTGGGTATTTAAAAGTTTAAATGGCTTAATGGTAATAGAAACTTTTAAAAACCCAACAAAAACATGAATTAGGAATAAAGCTCGAGTTTTTATCATAAAACTTTGGAAATTTCAAAAGAATCATGCGAAATTTGATCAAAAATTTATGAAAATTATAAAAACACAAAGAAAAACTTTCAGAATTACCGAATATTTCAGTGCAAAACCCCTGCAATTAATAATTAAAAGCAATTTTCCAAATTTACTGCCATTTTCTTGATGAAACGCTTGTAGATTCAAATTTTGCGTGTTTTGTAATATCCCATGAAATAATTTTTAGCTGAATATTGGTTTATTAGTTGTTGATGCAGCAGCATTGCTTGTTGTGCCCTGGGAGCGCAGAAGTCACAAGTTTTTAATTGCGTTTCGAGCGACATTATCGTAAAAAGGTACGATGTAAAAATACGCGACGCACTTAGTTAGCGCTCGGCGTGCGTTGTCGGTGAGGGATAAAACGCTAACATTATTAACACGGCGGTCGTAAAATTAAAGTTTCACATTTGCATGGTATACGCCGTCGATTGTCGTATCGCAACAGTCGCACTCAACTACAACCAACCATGAACATGCAACATCCTGTATATCTTCAGTAAGTCGTTAGTTACGACGTTATTACACTGTTAAGTCAGTACTTAACACTTCATGTTAGTATTTGCATTTGCATGTTTTATCATTCTATAAATGAATAACTATTGAAAGTACCCCAATTTAAAACGCGTGTTTTCCGTTTGTTATAATGTCAAAAACCAACGGAAAGTCGATTGAGTTATCGCCTCGGCCATTTATGAATGAAACGTCGGGTGTGTGACGTTCACTTCGCTTTATCAATTTGTGATAAACTCACAATGTTTCATTTCTATATACTTGGTGTTTTAGTCTGAAAAAACACATAATCAACTAGGTCACATAATGTTAATTGATAAATACGTTACTTGATAGTCCAGACAATGACGCGTAGAATTCTTCTTACATAATTGTCACGACCGGCGGCGCGTGAATTCGAAATTTAATTCAATTGTGACCGAAATGGGCATAAATAATTTACAGCGTGCGATTCGCCGAAAACCCTCAAGCGCGCGGAATTCACCGCGAGTGACCGGCGCTGCGCAGGTTCGTCACGGCGCGGCTCGAATTCGCTAATAAAATCCTGCGCCGTGCGGTACCTTCGCGGCCCTT